TGTTGGGGGGGGGGGGGGGGGGTGTACTCATAGTCGTGCACGCCGTAGTCGTTTGACCATTGACCTCGCATCCCTACAAAGCCGGGACGGAGCACGCCGGGTTCTCACCGGACCAGGCTCTCACATCACCAAGCGCGAAGCGCCGTGAGGTATTTGGCGAGTCGCATGAAGGGTGAGCTGCATCCTGCTAAGGGTGTTCGGCATCTTGTGCTTACTTCCTTGCGTACGGATGACAGCTACGTATGACTTAATTTATTTTCTGGTGCGTTCACTTCCAGAGACAGTTGTAAGCACTGTGTAACTGCCTCGAGGAAGCTTGACCATTTTAACACAACGTGGTGCGATCATCCCCCGTTGCGCGGAGTGAGGTTTCTCGACCCCGCACAACATGATCTACTCGACCACCATTATGGTTACCGCCAAAAAAAAAAAAAGCGAGGTAAAAAAAAAAAAACGGTAACCTGGTTGCCGAGTTCACGAAGTGAATTGGCTTGTTTTACAACGTCGTTGCCAAGCGACGAAAACCCAATCCCGATGGCAAACACCGAGTGGGGGGTACCCCGGGGGGGAATTGAAATACCCGGGGGCATCTGTTTTTTTTTTTTTGTCGAAAACGATCTACCCCGGGCTAAATCAACGATATTTTTGTATTTTTGGTCGAAAACGTTCTACCCCGGGGCTAAATCAACGAAACCATGCTTCCAGGCCCAAAAGGTAATGGGGGGGGGTGTACTCATAGTCGTGCATGCCGTAATCGTTAGACGATAGACCTCGCATCCCTACAAAGCCGGGACGGAGCATTGCCAGGGTTAGCGCCGGACCAGGTAATGGGGGGGGGGGAGGAAATCTGTACCACGGTACCCACAACTTCCAAATCGTCCTCTTCTTGACTGACAGGCGTCACTGACAGGCGTCAATTAACGTCGCCGCCCACTTGATACGTAGCTATAACAAACATATTACGGAGTGTATCGTGAACCCACCGGCTATCGCCGTCGCGTGGTCGTAGTAGGGCTGCGGGACGAGGGCAACAACGGTGCCCTTCGGGTGCAGCTGGTCGCAAGCGGAGTAGGAGATCTTTAACAGGCGCTCTCTCCACGTCTTCATATCCATGCCTTTGGGGTCGCTGGGACCGGGTGCAATGAAGAGCAGCATCACCTTCCGCTTCGTCTTCAGCATGGCGAGGTCATCCAAACGAAAGTCATCCCTCAGCACATTCAGCTCGTGCATGTAGGTCCACTGGTCCCTGTAAGCAGCGGGTGGTCGACAACAAGGTAGGAGGTCCGTTGTGACTACAACGCCAAACAGGGACATACTTCGGGGGCAGGGATACTATGTATGTATCCGATGCAAGCGATTGTACTACAAGGATGGGGTGGACAGCGCTCACGATTGTGGTGCTTCCGACGGGACCTAACACATTATTCTGCACTCAGCATGGATGGGGGTTGGAGATGACGCAACGCAATACCTGTATGTACTCTAGCAAAGCAAAAATAGATAAGCCCGCAGCTAGCTGTGTGCTCTATGTTGTGGTCCCCACCTGCACGCGAGCATGAAGCTCTTGCCGTCCTTTTCGGGCGACGACGGTAGTTTCGGGGTGGGTATGTTGTCAGTCGTCGGGGCGCGCCCAGGACCACGCCTCCTCTTGGTCGCGTTGCTCCCCTCAGGGTCAGGCTCACGGCCTTTGCCGGACGGGGTGGACGGACTACCCCCATGGTCAGAACCACTCGGGGCATCACGTTTCCCAGCCCCCGGGTTCGGCACCGTCGTGCTCGCGCTCACTCCGCAATCCTTGCATCGTCGTAGTAGCTCCGACTCGCCTTCTGGAGCCGTCGTGTTCCGGCAACCTCCCGTGTGGTAAACGTGGCACTTGTCGCACTCGTAACTGTGGTATTGAGACAGGACAAAAAAAACGCGGAGGCCGCAAGTGATGAGAACCTGGCGAGTCCATCCACGTACACCCACGTGATGCTTTCCTTTGCTCCTACCATAACCCCTCCGATGATGGGTTCTTGTTGGAGTAACGGATGCACACAAACGGAATGAGTACGTACGTACAGAAGAACCTGAGCCTGGGAAACTCTCACCATGAACCAAGCGGTGCGTCGCACTGTGTGCACCCCTTAGCTGGAGAAGAAGGAGTGCCGGGCGATCCCGCCGGGGTTGACCGAGCGCCCTCGTTGCTGTTGCTGCTCCTGCTCTCCGTCGGTCGGCTGTGCTGTAGTTTGAGCTGGTTCGCCTTGTCCATGACGGATTGGTGTTTCCGATCGAACTCCACGAGTTTGGGCCTCATTGTTGGATCTTTGTTGATGATCTGCACATCATACACCGAGACACGGAGGAACAAAAGAGGAACGGAGCGAGTGGCCGAGGCGCGAGAGAACGGGTTATCGCTGACGAAAAACATGAAGTAAAAGACGTGTAAACATGCCATCGCCGCTGCTGTCGTAGTTGATGTTGTTGTTTTCTTGTTGTCTTCACATTAAAAAAAACAATTCCGGTCTCCGCTCAGCACCTTCTAATGTCCGTACTGGTCCACAACTGACACGGACGCCTCCCGTGGTCACAAGCCAATTGCCCTAGAGGGATGCACCTTTCGGAAAAAAAAAATGTACACGAGCAAATGTCATCCCAGGCGTGGTCTGTGTTTCTCCCAAAAACGAAAAGAAGAAACAGAAAACAACCTAGGAAAAAGGCTACTAACCGGGATACAGAGGATCTCCGCACAGACTACAAATTACCTCTACACTTCAAGCACGGTGGACACCGAAAAAAAACACGAAATGTATTTGGTTTTAGCGTCGCGGGCGAGGGAGTCACATCCTTATCAAGCAGTGCGCTGTCTCACGGTTCTCATCGCGTCGGTAGGCTCCGCAAGGAGCACGTCCTTGTCCGTGGGGTCGAGCTCCCTGCTGTGGTGCGGCAGCTGACCCTCGATTTTCGCCACGCTAGCTGCGACTCGTTGTAGGTGCGGCTTGATGTAGTGGGAGTAGTGCCCAGTCTTCGCATATGAGTAGTCCGTCACCATCCTGTCGCCATGCGAAGAAGGCAGAGCCGGTGCCAACGATCGTGGTTGGGCGGAGTGTGCTGCGGCGACGAAACACAAAGAATGAAGGACATGGCGGCGTCCGATCCGCGACAAAAGCACCCAATAGACCCAACGCAATGTGTTCGTGTGAACCACCGCACTGACACTGACGCATTGACAATAGTCAGGCGGTTGTCGAGGTCGGTGCCAACAAACCAGACACACACCCACACGCCAACGCGCGGCCACCGCGGCCAGCATCCATATCATCCTTCTTCGGGCAAACTGTCCACGGATAAATGTAATAATAATACTATAGTGTGTTTTTGTAGGACTCACGTTTTCAGCTTTGTCGACCACTCTTCTCGTGGCACGATGAATCGCACGGTCTCAATCCACTTCATTGTCTCCTCCGCCTGCTCCAACACGCTCTGGGTGTCCTGCTTCACGTTTTTGCGCTTTTCCTTCGGCAGACTGATGCAAATAGGCACACACGGAAGGCGATAAACCTCACTCAGAATTGTTCGCTGTCATCATCTAAACTCCACAGACGGACAAAAGGGACTGCGTCTAACACGTGATGTTTATTTTTGTGGACATCGCTCGGTACCCCCGTGAACACACGTAGGCGCGCGCGCACAACCATGCCCGCCCGCTGTATATGATGACCCCATCGAAGACACTGCTCTCACTCGCCGTCGACTCCC